AGGAAGATATCTATTTACAAAACATATTTTCGGTCAAAACTATATTTTGATGGAAGTACGTCACTGTTACATCTTACCCTCCAAAATTTTTATTTCTGATTGTATTCAAATGTTGCTGATTTATTTCTGGTACTGTTAGCTGTGAAGAGAAAGAAAATATTGGGAGAATGGCTGGGGTGTCTCTTTTTATCCATTTCTATTTATTTTCTTTATTTCATTTTACTGGCAATTTAATTAATGCATTTTTGCTTTCTAAAACTTCCTGAAGAACATCAGCTGAGCCTTATGCAGGACTCAGGCTCTCATTTGACTGCACAAAAGTTCTAGACTGAGGATTGCCAATACTTCATTTTCCCAGCAAATCACATAAACACAACAATCCCTTTTATAGGAATATTTACAGTCAGTATTCATACCTGTAAGCTGTCTTCAATGTGTATCCAACAGCAGAATGTTTACCTTCACAACTAGATTAACTGATAGGAAGAGGATGTGAAATTTCAGCACAGGAAATCTAGTTTGAATTCTGACTGGAGTACTCTGTTCTCACAAAGAGAGTTAAGTACAGAAGAAGTTGTTTGAAACAAAGCAAGATAAATCATCTTAAGGAGAGGATGGAAATGGCTTGCTGGATTTTTTGAGTCTATACAAAGATACTATCCCCCCGGAATATGAAACCCCTGAAAGGTTATCTGAATCATAAAAGTTTGTGCCTCTCATGTTCAAAGGAATGAAATGTAAAACTGTCACCCCCCAGGCATCACAACCAGCTATCCACAGGAGCAGCCATGAGCCTCGTCTACAGCTGAAAAGCACAATCTTTCTTGCAGTGCCCATCTAAATATGTTGTTTGGACAGATTCGGGATTTTGTATTGAACACACTTTGAAAGCCCCATGACATGTGATAGCACTTAGCTCAGCAGCAAATTCTCACAGGAAACTTACGTTACATATTTGACATCCCTAATGCAATTATCAGGCCAAAAAATATACAGGGGAGTAATGAAGCTTGACCACTCAAACATTGCATTGCCAGTGCACGGTGTTATTCCTGACAGAGCCAAGGAGGGAGAGGAAATTCAGGGAGTGCTGAGCTGAATTTCAGGAGCAGATTCAGATTAATGGCAGATCATGGTTGGCTAACAGTGAGCTGCAACCTCTGCCTGGCTGCTGGTCCTTCTGAGGCTACAGCACGAGGGCTTCCAGCAGGGCTGATGGCAATTTCTACTGCTAATTTATGATTGACAGGGACCTTTTGTTATGGCCACGCCTTCTGGGGTTTTTTTGTTTGTTTGTTTTTTTGGTTTTTTTGTGTGTAAAATCCAGGAAGTACAAGCGTGTGCTTTGAAAAATCGCTGCAAGCAGGCTAAACTGGAGAGAGGATGTACCTAATAATCACCAGCACTGACTGAAAGGGAAAAAAGGAAGCCTATCAATGTGGCTTTTAAATATGACTATCAGGAATGAAACTCTCCAACTAAACCAGATAAAACCAGAAACAAAAGGGAACTGGAGTTACACTAGCAGCAGCTTAATAGCTGCAATTATCAACTGGGCTCCCAGTTGGAATTACCACCCATCAAAGCCCGAGGTGAAAAATGTCAGGGGAATGGAGTGAAAGGCCTGCCTGAAAATGCAAAACCGCAGAGCATTCACTTGCTAAAAGACTTGGATGAGCTACTCGTTCTGGTCTTTGTGCTCTTTTAAATACAGCCATCTAGTTGTCTTGGAGACAAGCACGTGGGAAAAAAAAAAGCCACTCAATATTCCTATCCCTGACTATAATCCCCTGTTATGGATCAGCTAAGTAATAGTCTAAATACAAAATGTATAAAATATTAACCTGACAAACTGCTCTGCTTAAGTCAATGACATATGGATAGAAGATGTGGGTAACAAGAGGTTTATTAAAATGCTCCGGTTCAGCTGCAGCAGGAGTAACAGAATAAAAGCATGACTTGTAAAACAGAAAGGGTAGGGAGATATTAATACTGAAGTGCAGATGAGCAAATTTTCCTGGAAAAATCAGAGAAGCCAACAGCAAATGAGGTTGATTAAAATTACTATAATTGTGGTGACAAGTTGTACACCACTCGAACACCCTACTGCACATAGTTCCAGATGCTAATTTGGGCTCTAATTTGCCCGTCCTTGAAGACAGTGATAAAACTCTCCTTGACTTCAAAGAGGAACAGAAGCAGACTCTTCAATTCATAGGAAAGAAATAAATGTCTGGCTTTAACACCAAAAATCAGCAGCCCTAAAATATATCTTGAAAGCATCCCTAGATTTTATTGACGATAACTTTGTATTGATTGCTTATAAGTTTTTTAAATAAATTGGAAAATTTGAATTACTTCTTATTTGCATATGGTAAATTTGAATCTGTATAACTAAATACCACCAAGCATTTGTATAACACTTTACAGGAACATTCAGGAGTAGGATCTACATTTTCACAGGCAGTGACTCTGGAAACTCATCTCTAGCCCAGAACTCTGCTTCAGGTATGTAAAAGGAAGTTAGTCTCACACAGAGCTCTCACCTTAAGGAAAAGGTTTTGAAGCAAAGCACTTAGAAGTCATCCAGAACCATTAATCACTTGAAAATTCTTGGCAAATGCATTTGTTTTACCAATTTACACCAATGATGTCAAGCTGCGTCTATGTTAATATACTTCTGTTTAATTCTGAGAGAGTCAGTATATGTTTCCCATCCATAAGTGGAGGTACCTCAACCTCCCTGAAGAGGACAAATGCTTTTTAAACACATCTGGATAACTGTGGTGGAATTAACTGAGATGCTTTGCCCTTAGCTCTTTGTATTAGAATTTTTGTTACCATCAAGTACCAGTATACTTTTCTTCTTGATATCTTCATCCCACAGAAGTTGTGTGCATTGCCCCAGCCTTTTAAATAGTGTGCTTAAACCTACTGTTCATAGTCTGCAAACTAGGAAAGCTATCTTAAAAAAACCCAAACAATTAAGCATTTGCTAGTCTTATGGATGGATAATGAGATGATTTGCTCTCACAATTAAAAGATAACTATTGTGTGAATATTAAGAAAAGCTTTAGTGATAGATAGTTACGTTATTGTAGTTTGGATGTCCTCTGTTCTCCCCATAGTTCCCTTTTCCCCCCGTATTGTTGTCTAGGACAGGTAGAGAGAAGGCTGCACATGTGGACACGTGTCCCTTACCTGGGGCAGTTGGGAATGGAAAAGCTTGGTGCTTAGGGGGTGTAACACAGCAACCCCTGACCTCCAATCAAGTTACAAGAAAGCAGTCTCCACCAATAAATGGCAAAGAAGAGCTGACTGACAGACTTTGGGAGGGGCTAGGGCTGGCTGATGCAACCCCCCCAAGGGTATAAATGACTGAGCATCCATCTTGAAGATGAACTGGTTGTGTGGTATTCACAAGGGCAGTTCTCAGTGCTGCAGATTTTTCCTGATGTAGTCCTTTTGTTGTATTTTTGTTAAGGTTTAATAAACCTTTTTAAATTTTCAAAGTGAGCAATTGTTTCTCACACTAGGATATTTTATCACCTGCCATCAAGAACCATTACACTAGCTGCAAAAGTTTGTGCTGTCAAAGCTGTGTTGAAATAGAAGAAAGGAAACTGTAGTTAGGTTACTTCTTCTGGATGGCATTTGTGCCTCATCTCTTCACTACATGCAGTGCTTTGAAATGAGTGAACTTCTCTGAGATGCCATGGCCTAAGAGGCTGTGTTTATCTCAGTTTAAGTCTACTGAAATTAATGGAGATGCAGAAGTCCAATATTTTCTTTTGGTTCTCCATAAGCAATCTTAATAATGTAGAAAGACCAGTAAAGTTCTGCCGTCAGCAAGGCCTGTGAAATTTGAAGGCCATGAAGATGCGCATACAATGACTGCCATTTCAAAAAGAGCCTGACTGCTAATGAAAAATAGGCCTGAATGCATTTCAAGGGATATTCAAGCTTGTGCTTAGGTTGAGGCCAGATGTTGATGCAGAGGAAAGGGAAGTTGGGGAAATTTAGGAAAAATAGGTGCATGAACCCTTGGGATATTGGGTTACCAGCCAGCTGGGAGACACCTGGAGAGCAGCTATTTAAATGCGTTTGAAGTAAGGGTCTCTTGTAGAGGGATTGGCCAGAGGGTCTGGAGAGCAGAGACCCTTCTGCTCCTTCCAGTGCCTCCTGCCGCCCTCAGCCTGCAAGGAGGCACTTCCAGCCCCCAGAGCCCCCGGGAAAGGGCCGGGCCGCCCGGAGGGAGAGCTGGTGCATGGCCACCTCCTGCCTGCCCGGGGCTGGGGAAGGGCAGGGCCGTGCCACTGGGGCACTGCCACAGAGCGCTGGAAGGACTGAAGGAGCAAAGGTGTTTTCATTGACAAAAAAAAACACTTTTAATTTTTTAAAAATTCTTTTTTGTGCATTTGTCCCAGTCTCTCTGCAAGCCTCTCGAGTCCCTGGGCCTTACCCGGGTCGGCAGAGAGTGGGGGGGGTGACCCCACCACGGCCGACTGCGGGGAGACACTCTCTGTGCCCCGAGGGTGCTGAGGGCACTCAGGCTGGTTGCCTTCGTTGCAGCAGAGACGACCGAGACGTCGGTGGAAGAGGAAAGGGGCCGACTCCCAGCAGGGGGTATTCCAAGGTTTTATTAAGGAGTCCCGAGCGAGCTCCTATACCTCAGGGGGTTCCTGCCGAGAGCGCTGGGGGATGTTCGAAGCTAACATTTAAAGGGGGGAGGAAGCTAACATAGATAAAATCCTACTGACCAATAGGTATCTCTGGGGGATGGGTGCTGGGGGGATAGACATACAAAACAGCGTATGGGGCAGGACTTGGGGGGTTGACCCTTGGCCCCTGGCTAATCACTCGACAACTTGGACCGAAACTTCTAGGTAGGGGGCTGGGATGTCGAGGTGACTGGCAGAGAGCCAGGGTGGGGGTTTTGGAGATCTTATCCCAGGAAAGGGATAACACAAGTAGAGGGAAAAGGAGGGGAGGGGGTACAGTCTGGGATAAGCCATTTGGGAAAAACATGGGGATACAAAACAAACTACTTCAAAGTGTTACAAAATATAAGAACGCACTACAACATCTCCCTCTTTTCGTTTAAATAAAAAAGGAAGAGGCACCTAAACATTAAATTTCAGCTCGGAGTGCTATCAAGCATCAGCAAACCAAGGCTGTTTGGTAAATTCTGCAGAGGTTTCTGTCCCTTCCTCAGAAGAGGTGGGAACAGTCACCTGATTGACCTCTAAAGGGGAAATAGCTTTCGAGATCAGTTTGGTCACAATGCTCTTGATGATCCCAAAACTGATCAAAATAACAAGAAGAACAAGCAAAACTAAAAATACAGATTTCAAAATGGATTTGACCCAGCCCGAGAGTCCCCATCCCTGAAAGAGTCCATCCATCCAGTCTGCTGTTTCTTGCTTGATGTCTTGGACCATTTGTTGCATCTTCCCGATGATTTTGTGGACATTTTCAGCTTTGGATGACAGATTCAGGCAACAGAGACCTTCAAACTCCTCACAACGATGATTATGTAGCAAGAGGAGAAAATCAATTGCAGCCCGATTTTGTAGGGTGGCTTGCCTTGTTGTTTCATCGTCTGCCAGGAGGTCTGAAAGTGCAGCTGATGTAATATTGGCCTGTTTAGCAACCCAACACTCTAGATGTGATAACTCGCCTAGAGCTTTAGCTGCAGACACCCATGGCAAAAACACGGTGATCGCAACTCCTTTTGGTTTGGACCAATGTACAATTTCAGAATCGCAATTTGGGTCCAGATTCCTTAAATCTCTCTTTTTGCGGGCCGAATTGCGGGTGTTGGTTTTGGTTCGCCAATCCATAATTTGGGTTTTGTTGGGTGTAAACAGGCTCAGCTTTCCAATGGTGCATGGACCTCCGATTAGACGAGAGGGGATGCCTGCCCATGCCCTGTCCCCGCAAATGAGGAAAAACCCCTTAGGAAGGGCACGGGGCTTATTATCAGGGGTAGAAGGTATTCCTACTTGGGAAATTTTCTTACACCAAATTTTTGCTGTATAATTCACCTTAAACTGTTTGACTTCATGGTACAAATCTACTTGATCTTTTGGTGTAAACGTAAACTGAACACAATAGAATGCCTTGGCAGAACCAAGGAGTTCAAATTCTTGGGGTTCTTTTTCTGCTACTGCTTGTCTATCAATTAATTTTGACCAAGGGGATAACGGATTATATACTGGGGGAAGGGGAGCAGCTAATGTTGGCGGAAATTCATCATATTTGGATGGGATCCCCACAAGGCAAGTGGACATCGGGTCAGACACAGAAGAGGCTGACAGGCAAATGTGGTCTTGGTTGAGGACTCTGGCGAGGGTGGTCCACACATTTGCTTGGGGTTGTGGAACAATCCACATCTGACCTGGATGGACGGCTGTCAACAGAAGCAACGGAAGGATGGGGCTCATTCTGATGACACCAGGGCTGAGTTCAGATCAAAGGAAAACACTAAAACTGAAAATAAAAAGTGTTAGGGATGAGGTCCAGGTAACAACGATTTAACTTTAAAGAGTCTGACGGCGCTTCCTCCTCCAGCAGGCACTGGCTACCTGTGTTGCAGCTTTGTCCTTTGACACCTTAGGAATGTACGGTCTCACCCACCTGGAGGGGATCCATCTCAAGCCTGAGGGAGTGGATACGCACGCATACCCCCTACCCCAGACTACGAGCTCATGGGGCCCCTCTATTTTCCAAGTTTCAGGGTCCTTTATGAGGACTGGCGGACGCACTTTTAATTTGTGCTGACTGTTCTCGTTAAAATGTCTTACAATAGGTGGGTTAAGGTTTTCAAAGGTACAGTTCAAAAAGTTCAGTGTGAACAGTGCTTTGGACAGCTGGATTTGAGGGGTCTCTGTTTTCATCACTTCACGTTGTCGGTGAAGAACCTTTTTTAGGTTCTGATGGGCTCTCTCCACCACAGCTTGGCCTGTCGGGGAATAGGGGATGCCTGTTTTGTGTTCTATTCCCCATTGCTGCAGGAAGCTCTGAAGGTCTTTGGACTTGTACGCTGGGCCATTGTCTGTTTTGATGACCTTAGGGATTCCTAATGTGGAAAAGGCTTGCATGAAATGCTTCTTTACCTCACTGGCTTTTTCCCCTGTGTGGGCAGAAGCGTAGATGGCACCAGAAAAGGTATCCACGGAGACGTGGACATATTTAAATCTGCCAAATGATGGGATGTGGGTTACATCTGTCTGCCACACTTCGCAGCTCTGCAAGCCCCTAGGGTTTGCACCTGCACTTAAGGTAGGTAGTGACTGATTTTGACAAGAAGGGCAGGTGGCTACGATGGCTTGGGCTTGTTTGTGCTTCAGATGGAATTGTCGGACCAAGGCAGGTGCATTCTGATGAAAAAATTGATGACTGATCTTTGCTTGTTTGAATACCTCTGGGAGCGGGGCCATCTTGGCTGTAGCCGCAAGGGCATCAGCTTTCCGGTTACCTTCTGCAATGAACCCCGGCAGGTCTGTGTGTGACCTAACATGCATCACATAAAACGGGTGTTCTCGGCCAGAAATAATTCTTACTAACTTAGAAAGTAATTCATATAAAGGAATGTTGGAAACTTCTTGCAACACAGCATTCTCTGCCCTAGACACTACACCTGCAACATAAGCTGAATCAGTAACTATATTTAAAGGCTCAGGAAACTTCTCAAAAGCTCTGACTACAGCGGCCAACTCAGCAATTTGGGGTGATCCTTCCACCTTGGCAATATCTGCCTCCCACTGTTGAGTTTGGGGATCTTTCCAAGTTACCACTGACTTGTGAGATGCACCAGACGCGTCAGTAAAAACTGTCAGTGCTTTTAGAGGTGTCCTGCTCTGAATACTTGTCAGTGATAGTGAAAACTGAACATCTGAATTGAAAATTTTGTGGGCCGGTCTGTGAATTGAAATTTGGCCTGTGTAGCTATCTAGGGCTAATTGCAAGGCTTCATTCTCTTGATAAAATTGCTCTAGCATTGCTTGAGACAAATGGCCTGATTTCAGGTTTAAGGAAATGTAAATGCAGTCAAAATCACACCCTGCCAATTCTCTGATCCGTATCCTTGCTTTCCGGATCAATTCTGCCATCAGCTCTTGTGGCATTGTCATCCTTTTTGACCTGTTGTGACTGAGAAAGACCCATTCTATAATTAAGAGGGGATCTTTCTTGACCTGGTCCTTTTTCTTTGCCTGGACAGTTTCCCACTGAAAAATCATACCATGGAGATGTGGCAGTTTGCCTAAGATGATAAATTTGAAGGGGAGACCCTGCTGGCACCTGTGGGCCTGCCTAGTAGACATGATTTCCTGAACTTTCTCCAGTGCGGTTTTCGCTTCCTGGGTGAGGGTCCTAGGAGCACTAAGGTCATCTCCCCCTTTTAACAAATTGAAAAGGGGGGCTAGGTCTTCGGTGGAAATGCCTAGCCAAGGTCTCACCCAATTTAAGGATCCGCAGAGTTGACGGAGATCCGCTAAGGTTTTGATATCGTGTTTGATAGTCAATTTTTGCGGCACAATGGTCCGCTTTCCAATTTCAAGGCCCAGGTACTTCCAAGGTGGCATCTTTTGAATCTTTTCTTCTTGGAGCTCGAACCCTGCAGCAACCAATGCATTGATTGTCAGGTCAAGTGTGTGAGTAAGCATGTCATCACTTGGGGCACACACCAGGATGTCATCCATGTAGTGCAGGATGATGGAATCTCCTGCAGCTTCACGGACTGGAGACAACAAGGAAGAAACATACCTCTGGCAAATCACAGGACTGACTTTTAGTCCCTGAGGGAGGGTCGTCCAATGGTATCTCTTCATTGGGGCCTCCAGGTTAATGGTGGGAACCGAAAAGGCAAAACGCGGAGCATCGTCAGGATGTAGGGGAATGTGAAAAAAACAATCTTTGATGTCAATTACCGCTAAAGACCAATTTTGTGGAAGCATGCTGGGTGAGGGCATCCCTGGTTGTAGGGACCCCATGTCCTCAATAACATTGTTGATTTGACGGAGGTCATGGAGTAGTCTCCACTTGTCTTTGTTTGGTTTTTTAATGACAAAGACAGGCGAATTCCACGGTGACGTGGTCTCCACTATGTGACCTTTTTCTAACTGCTCTTGTACAAGTTCTTCAAGCGCCTTTAATTTGGTTTTATTGAGCGGCCACTGAACTACCCTTATTGGAGTATCAGTTTTCCAAATCAATTTTTGGGCGTGGCGCACCTCAGCGACCGCTCCCCGAAAAACCTGCGGGTTTTCTGGGATGTCAATTGTGGTTCCCCATTGAACCATTAAATCTCTGCCCCAGAGGGGCTCTGTGTAGTCTAAAACAAACGGGCGAATGGAAGCTATTTTGCCATTGGGTCCCTCAATTTGAACAACGTTTTTTGACTGTCTTGCCAATTGAATTCCCCCTACACCTTGCACGTGTCCTGCTACGTTTTGCAATTCCCAGTGTGATGGCCACTCTTTAGATGGAATAATCGTGACATCTGCTCCAGTATCTAAAAGTCCTTGTATGGACTTGTACTCACCACCACGGTGTAACCCACATGATAGCTTGGGTTTTTCTTTTCCCAATACCTGAGTCCAGCAGACATTGGGAAGGAGTTTACCTCTGAGGGTGTCTGCTTGCTCCTGGTCCCATGGAGGCTCAGGTACTGGGATGGCTTGGGCTATGATTTGGCCTTTGGGCAAGTACACGGGTGGATGAGTACAGTGAAGCCATATGACAAATTGTTTCGGGTCTGATGATATGAGACCCGGAGGAATAATAATTTCTTGGGGTGTGTGTTTTGTGTCCCCAAGGACGACATACTTACTGTGACGCTTCTGGCAAAGCTGTGTCCAAGTACCTGGTTGTTCAGGGTTAACAGATATGAAATGCCAGTTAGTGTCTCTGAGATGGAGAGGTTCAGTCAACGCCAGCCTGTAAGGGTTATGGGAAGAGTCAGTGGTTAAAATTGGTCTGGGATTATTGCAATGAAATGAATGTTCTGTTTTGTTCAAAGCCAGTGCCTCGCTTGGCACCTGTACATCTTTTACACTAGATTTCTTTTCCCTCCCCCGTACTTGAATTGAGCCCACCCTATTTTTGTCATAGCGCTGGGGAAAGGAGCGCTCTTTACTCAGTTTTTTGAGAAGTGGTCCTTTGGGGAATTCTGGTTTTTAAGCATATTGTATTTAAAATCTAAAAACTGCTTTTTCAGAGGGCAGTCCGGCATCCAATGTCCCAACTTCCCACAAAGATGGCAAGGTCTATTAGAGCTGGAGATTCTCTCTTGTGGCATCGTGACATGCTGGAGCTGGCTGGTAAATGGTGGCTCAGGGGTTTCCACTGCAGCAATCCTCCTCTGTGGTTTTGGTCTCTCGTCGTGGTCAGCGAGGGTGATGGTAACTTTCTTCTCACACACTTCAAGCATGGCCTGCAGTGTAGGCGTTGGGTCAAGAGGCAGGCTGAGAATAGCAGCTTTGCACTTCTCATTGGCATTTTCTTTAGCGATCTCGGTGAGGATTTCCATCCTGGCTCCTTCATTCTGAACTTGCAATTCAACAGCTTTTCTCAACCTTTCCACAAAACTCAAAAAGGACTCAGATGGAGATTGTGTTATTTTCAAATAATTTTCAATTGGAATACTAGGACGGAGCCCAAAGAAAGCTTTCTCAGCTGCTCTAGCACTTTCTCTGAAAGCCCTTGTGGGAATGCCCTCTGCCTGGATCACGCTATCTTCCCAACCTCCCTGTCCACAGAGATGATCGAGGGATAACATATTACCATAAACATCACGAGCAGTAGCTTCATCAGCCCACAGAGCTGGTAAAATTGCTCTCAATCCTTTTTGCCATGCAACTTCCCACAAGAGATATTCAGAAGAGGATAACAGGCAGGAAAAAAGGTGTTTTATATCAGCAGGGGTTAAAATGTGAGCGAATAATGTAGCTTTAAGGAGCCCTCTAAAATATTCACTTGATCTCCCAAAATCTTTTTGGGCTTTGGCTAGTTCTTTAACAGAATCAACAGAAAGGGGGCTATAATTTGGCTGGAATGCCCCGGTGACATCTGGAATATATGAGACAGGGGCAGCAGAAAAGGACTGTCCTGTTTCCGGGTTCTGTCTGCCGGCGACAGCGTCTCTTATTACACTGTCCTGAGCGCCGGAGGGCGGGCCGTGGGGGGGGCGGAGGGAGCCCGCGGTGGGCGGGCAGAGCTCTGAGGGGGCGGGGCCGGCCGGAGCCAGAGCAGGAGGGGCGGCCGGGCCCAGAGCGGGAGGGGCGGCCGGGGCCGGAGGAGGAGACGGGGGAGGGGCCGGGAGAAGGGTGGGAGGGGCCGGGGGAGGAGACGGGGGAAGGGCGGGAGGGCGGGTTTCGGGGGCGGGGTGCTCCGAGCAGAATGGGTTGTTGGGAGAGCGAAAGGGATTATGGGAAAGCGAGGAAACCACCATTGCCACGTGGTGTCCGCCATTATGGTCCGGGGAAGTTACCGGACGCGGCTCAGGGGTACCAAGGCGGGCACTAAGGTTGTGAGACACGGTATTATAACTTGTGGAAGCAGGGGGGAGGGTGGGATTTCGGGAATTCAGGGCAGAAGTGTCCGGGTTGGAGACAGGGAACCTCGGGGGGAGGGCAGGGGTTTGTGCAAGGGCTGGGAGTGGGGGGAGGTGAGTGGAGGAGGGAGAACCGAACTCGGAGGGGGGTAGATCGGGTTTCTGGGGAACAGAGATATTGAAACTGTTGCCGGATGGCTGTTCCTGCTTCTTTAAATTAAATTTTACAACATTTCTTATCTGCAGGGCTAAAAAAGCGAATTTTGACGGAGATATGTCTCCTGCTTTCCCTGCCTTCAATAATTCACTACCAATTTTGTCCCAAAAAGCCAAATCACTGAGATTTTCAGTGGACACGTCAGGGAAGTGAAGGAAAAGCCATCTGACGAACTGTTTAACATCTGTTTTTGAAAATCGGATCTTTTCACTCTTAAGAATGTTTAAAAGATGATAATAGACACCCTTGTGAGATACAGAAAGCCTAGCACCCATTTTGGCTCTGATTTTAAATTTGTATCTCAAATTTCAGCAACCCAGGTGGGGGGGGGGAGGAGAAAAAAGCCTACAGCTGGCAGTCTGCCCACAATAGAGAGAAAAAAAAAAAACTTCAGCCCTCCGCGGCGGGGCTGAGAACAAAGGGCAGGGAAACACCCCCTCCCAAAGAGGGGAAAAACAAGAGAAGGGTAAAACTTACCAATCCAACTGCAGGAGAGGGGAATGAAAAAGCCTGGGTTGTTGATTTCCACCTAAAGCTGACTCCTTAGGGTACATAAGAAGCTCCCAGCTTCGTCCACAGGAGAGCAACTCACTAAAACGGAGTTTTTTCTTTCCTGAGGTAGCTTGCCGGCCGAAGGCTTATCGAACAGACTGAAAGAATGTCCGAGCCCCTTTCCGTGGGCTCCTGGAATGGTCCCAGAGCCCCACGGCTGGGCGCCAAGCTGTCCCAGTCTCTCTGCAAGCCTCTCGAGTCCCTGGGCCTTACCCGGGTCGGCAGAGAGTGGGGGGGGTGACCCCACCACGGCCGACTGCGGGGAGACACTCTCTGTGCCCCGAGGGTGCTGAGGGCACTCAGGCTGGTTGCCTTCGTTGCAGCAGAGACGACCGAGACGTCGGTGGAAGAGGAAAGGGGCCGACTCCCAGCAGGGGGTATTCCAAGGTTTTATTAAGGAGTCCCGAGCGAGCTCCTATACCTCAGGGGGTTCCTGCCGAGAGCGCTGGGGGATGTTCGAAGCTAACATTTAAAGGGGGGAGGAAGCTAACATAGATAAAATCCTACTGACCAATAGGTATCTCTGGGGGATGGGTGCTGGGGGGATAGACATACAAAACAGCGTATGGGGCAGGACTTGGGGGGTTGACCCTTGGCCCCTGGCTAATCACTCGACAACTTGGACCGAAACTTCTAGGTAGGGGGCTGGGATGTCGAGGTGACTGGCAGAGAGCCAGGGTGGGGGTTTTGGAGATCTTATCCCAGGAAAGGGATAACACAAGTAGAGGGAAAAGGAGGGGAGGGGGTACAGTCTGGGATAAGCCATTTGGGAAAAACATGGGGATACAAAACAAACTACTTCAAAGTGTTACAAAATATAAGAACGCACTACAACATGCATTAGTTTTATTTTCCTCATTTTTATATTATCTTTACATTAACAAGAAATTACTTTGTGATTAATTGCTGATTAGTTGGCATTTATTTCTGTAATTACTTCAAATGTAATTTCATTCACCTATATCCAAAAGACTGCTGACAACTTTTATAGATTTCTTTTTTCCAAGGTCAGAAAATGCATCTGCATACATACATAAATACATAGAGAAATAGATAAAATTTGGTTAATTTCTACTTGTACTATTTATATATAAATGTATAATTAAATCATTCTAATCTCCAGTTGCCTGAATTGCAATCTTGCTTAAGAATATAATCTTTCATTAAATATGTATGATATAGATTATATATAACATTTTATGCATTATAGCTCTCTCCTTTTTTCAGATTTGCATAGAAAACATCGAGAATTGAAAGGTAGTGCATTTTAAGGGCTATAAAAGTGAGAGTACAAATTAAAAAATCTGTATTATTTGCAGAATTCACCCAAATTCTGTGACCTTAAACCAACTCAGTATTCAAGTAGAATTTATTTTATCTCTACCACTGATAGCCATGAAGCATAGGAAAGGCAGTTGCTTTTTGGAGACTGCCTCTCCAGGGAACTCATTTTGATCACAGGCTTTTCCTGCCTCAGTTCTCCCCCTGTAAAATGGGGATAACCATTTTCTCTCTGCCTGTCATGAAATGCTCTGAGGAAATAATATTTGGATATTAGAACAAGGAATCTGTGTAAACATTTGAGAGGGAGGTAAACATAGCAATCCAAAGCTGAAGTGCATTAATTGATTACTTTCTGCTTTGCTTTATAGTTTTACCTTTTTGTGTGTCTGCTTCTTGCCTTTGTCTGTGATTTTGCTGAAGGGGTATGTTTCTAATTAACGAGAAGCTGAGTTTTCTGATTGTGGCTCAGCATTTGAAGCCTAGCTGATGCACTTACTATTCTCAGAAACACAGTACTTTTTTTTTTTTTCCCTGGGAAATATCTAATTCAGAGTTTAAATAGCCAGTTCAGATAGACTTTATTTTAGCTAAACTCATCTTGGTCACTTATTCATGCAAATGTCTGGGCATGTGCCAAGCAAAGCATCCCAAATACCAGATGACACAGTGGGGTGGAGAACTCTTCTATTGCTTCATCTCCAGCTTGTGGAGGAGGATGTTCAGATACCCACTCTCTCTTCTCCCTTCCTTGCTGTTACTTACCTTTCTCAAAGGCATTCAAAGGTAGCAAGAGACATAAGGTTGCTCTGCTAAAAGGACTTGTTTTTGGAAGGCTCTGCAGTTTCTTTAGGTGAATATAAAAATTTCTTTAAATGCCTTCCTTAACCTGAACATTTAGAGCACCACTGAGCAGAGCACAACACCATGCCTGAATCCTTCTTCTTCCTTCAAGATCTACCTGCCTCTTCACAAACTTCCTTGCCTTACACTCCAAATATATTTTCTGTCACAAACCTATGTCTCTGTTCCAAAAAGGGCCTCCATATGTGGAGTCTCCAAGCTTGGCAAAGGATGTTTATGGCATTTTGGAGATAGCGCCATATTTTGATAGTAAGTGCAAAAATTAAAACTAATTTTTAATCCTTTTTTTTTTCTGATGGACATTTTGTGTAGGTAATAGAAACTGTGAAGCATTTAATTCTCTACAGGAAGTACTTTTAAGAAAATTCTCTAGCTGATGATATCTGCTTTCCGTAACCCTTCCTGATGTACACTAAAGGAAGATGTGGCTCTTCTGTAAAGTGATCCAGTTTTCAAAAAGAGCACTCTGATATTAGTGCATTTTAACACT